ATGGGCCACACTAGTACAACATTTGGCTCTTTTGACACAGTTTTTGTTAGTTAGACTCTTTTTTTTTACAGATGAGTTTCTTTTTACTCTGAAATAATTAAATATATCGGAATTTGGATGACTGGACGGATAGAGAATATTGAATCTGAAATTATTTAATGCTGAACTTTTTAAATATTCCTTCTTTCTTAAATCATATCCATAAAGATCTACACGAACTTCATCATCATATCTATTAAAGTGATGACCAATGATCGAATATTTGAAACTATGATCCCACTCTGAGACTACAGGAATACCATATAGTACCATAGAGTGTCCTGTGGGTATACCGAGTGCTTCACATGAGAACACAGAATCATAATAATAGCATGGCTTTGTATCGCTTTGAAAACAACTATGTGCTGGATCGAAAACTGAATTAAAATTTAAATCATATCCAACAACAAACCAGCTAATTTTAAGGTAATATTCTTTTTTTTGTTCACAATCAGATTGAATACAATTAATAATAACTTTCGGAATAAATGAAAGAGGTGGAGTATATAATATGCATGTGAAGATGTTGTCATCTTCTTCCGTGCTAGACACCGTAGCAAAAACTTGCGGATCAATATCTCTATTAGACAAAATGGAACACGTGATTGTGTATTGTGTCTTTCCTTTTCTTTAGCCTTGCACTTCTAGAAAAGAAATAATAAATTAATTTATAAATTTAGTGGGTGCTTGACCATTTTGAGAAATTTGTAGTAGATAAATTAGTGTTTTAAATTAATTGCCAGGCGCAATAAATTTTTATATTACTTCGTATATTATCATATTGTAGACCGGGAAATTTCGACCTCTGGAAATTTTGATTTTTGGTGCAGCTGATCTCACATTATAAGCCGTAGCTCTATGTAGATCAACTTCCTATAGTTTTCCCGGCAATTTATCGCATTTATCACACTTATCGCACTTATTGCATTTCTTAAAGATAATGCGTTAATGAGACTTAAGTGACTCAGTTAGCTTAAGGGTATTTGAGACTTATCCGACTAGTTAGATAAGTTAGTTTTAGTAGATTTCTTTGGTTTATTTCATAAATAATGTATTATTTGGTATATATGAATTTATCTATAAATAAAGAGCATTTTTGCCTAGCAAAAAAGCATTGCTCAATTGATAAAGATCTATTCCTCATAAAGTTTCCATTATACATTGTATAAATTTGCTAATTTCCTAACCTGATCCTATTTTTAAATGGATCTTTGTTGATTGTTTCTTTGATAAACCCATATTATTACCAGTGTTGGCTTGACCAGACCAGTTTGACCATTGGACCAGACCAATTTGACCAATTTGACCAGTCTGGTCAAAGGATCTGTGCTGGTCAAATTGGTCA